GGGCCGGGGCCGGGGGGGTGGATGGGCTGATCGGTGATCGATTGACAGACAGGATGGATACATCGATGATTGATTGATTGATTGATTGATGGGTGGATGGATGGATCGGTAGGTGATTGATTAATCGACAGATAGATGATGGACTGATTGATTGATTGACAGGTAGCGGGATGGTTGATTGATAGATTGATGGGTGGATGGACGGATCGATAGATGATTGATTGATTGATTGATAAGACAGATAGGTGGATGGATGGATCGGTAGGTGATTGATTAATCGATAGATAGATGATGGACTGATTGATTGATTGACAGGTAGCGGGAAGGTTGATTGATTGATTGATGGGTGGATGGACGGATCGATAGACGGTTGACTGATTGGATGGATGGATCGATAACTGATAGATCGATAGGTGATAGATAGAGGTGATTGATGCACAGGGTGGCTGGACGGACCGATGGATAGGCGATCGATTAGATGGGTGGACGGATCGATAGATCAGATAGAGAGACAGATAGCTGATAACGAGGATGGATCGATACGTGATCGGTAAAGACAAAGGACAGATAGACAAGACGGACGATCAATAGACAAGATGGAGGGATGGATCGATGACTGATTGATTGATCGATGGTCTCCTTGATTACACAGACAAGATAGATGGTTGCTGGATTGATCGATGATACACTAGGGGGGTGGATGGATGGATCGATAGGTGATCGATTGACAGGTGGATGATAGCATTGATTACATAGACAAGATGGAGGGATGATAGATAGATGATTGATTGATTGATTGATGATATCATTGATTACATAGACTAGATGGAGGGATGATAGATAGATGATTGATTGATTGATGATATTATTGATTACCCAGACAAGGTGGATGGATAATAGATGATTGATTGATGGATTCATGGATCGATAGGTGATCGATTGACAGGTGGATGATATCATTGATTACACACACAAGATGGATGGATATAGACAGGCCGGGGGGGGTGGGTGAACCGGCAACCTCTCGACTCCAGCCGGGGCAGCGTAGCAAGACCCCACCTGTCTCTTAAGACCTGGGGGGGGACCCCAAACCGGGTTATGGGGGCTCAGGTCCGTCCTCCCGGCACTTGGGGGGACCGAGGCTGGGGGTGACTGAGGCCGGGAGCTCGAGGCCCGCCGGGCCCAGGCAGCCAGACCCCGTCTCCCCAAAATGAAGGTGCCCACAGGAGCCTGGCCCACGTCGCAAGACCCCACCCGCCCCAGCGAGGCCGGAAAAACACGGGCTTCCCCCTCCTGGGCGGGCACCCGGCCCCGTGAGGCCCGGGCAGGAAGCCGGGAGGGGGCCCTCGAAACCGCCAGAGCGCGGCCCGGGGTCCGAGCTCCCTGGTCCCGGGGGACGGGGTGGGAGGCTGGCCCGGGCGGCCGGGGGTCGTCGGTGACGAGGAAGCGCGGGGGTCCTGGGGCTGCCAGGGAGAGACAGAGACGGAGAGAGACGCAGACAGAGACACAGAGAGAGACGGAGATGGACAGAGACAGAAAGAGAAACAGAGACAGAGACACAGAGAGACGGAGATGGACAGAGAGACAGCAAAAGAGAGACAGAGCAAGAAACAGAGAGGGAGAGACACAGAGACAGACAGAGAGAGAGACAGAGACAGAGAGAGACACACAGAGAGACAGATAAAGAGAGACAGAAAGAGAAACAGAGACCGAGACACAGAGGGAGACAGAGTCACACAGAGAGAGACAGAGAAACAGAGAGATAGAAAGAGAAAGAGGGAGAGACAGAGACACAGAGAGAGACAGAGATGGACAGAGACAGAGAGACAGAGACAGAAATAAAGAGACAGAAAGAGAGAGAGAGACAGAAAAAGAGACAGAGACAGACAGGCAGAGACAGAGAGAGACAGGGAGGAGAGACAGAAATAAAGAGACAGAAAAAAGAGAGAGAGAGACAAAGAGAGAGACAGAGACAGACAGACACTGAGAGACACAGAGCCAGAGGCAGAGAGACAGAGATGCAGAGACAGAAAGACATAGACAAAGGGAGACAAAGACAGAGAAAGAGACAGAGACACAGAGAGACAAAGATGGACACAGAGACAGAGACAGAGAAAGAGAGAGACAGAAAAAGAAAGAGGGAGAGACAGAGACAGATACAGACACAGAGAGAGACAGAGACGGACAGAGACAGATAAAGAGAGACAGAGAAACAGACAGGGAGAGACACGGAGACAGAAAAAGAGACAGAGACAGACAGGCAGAGACAGAGAGAGACAGGGAGGAGAGACAGAAATAGAGAGACAAAGACAGAGAGACAGCGAGAGACAGAGACAGAGACACAGAGACAGAAAGACACAGACCAAGGGAGACAAAGACAGAGACACAGAGACAGAGGCAGAGAGACACAGAGAGATACAGAGACACAGAGACAGAGAGACAGAGGCAGAGAGACACGGCGAGAGACAGAGACGCAGGAGACACCGCGACAGCGGCAGACAGAGACCCCCGCTCAGCCCCCCACGGACTCGCCTCCCATCAGGGCCCCGCGGCGTCCGCCATCCCTTCTCCTCCCAGGGGGGCTTCGCCCTGGGGGTCCGGGGCGCCTTCTGGGGGTGA